GTTAAATCCTAAACAAAAAAATCCTTCGGTGCCCCAGACAACGCCTGGAAAGCCATCTTGATGGTAACAGACGTAGGGAATCCTTTCCTTCTTTGCCCTGGTTGGTGGTCAGCTGGTTTACTTTTATTTTGTTTAACGTCCTATGAACAGCGTAGGTCATTTAAGGACGTGCCTCCATGCATGCTCGTATGTATGCCGAAGACAGGGAATGTTGGTGTACTTGCTTCCTTGTGATAGCGCGGATCTGCTACCGACTTGATAGTGCCGTTGATCCGACTTAATAGTGCCGTATTACTGAAATACCATGGTTAAGCAAAATGTATATCATAAAAAGGTTCATTTAAAAAATATTCTTACATTTCCATGTAAATTATTGAAAATTATGATGCATAAACGTTCGATATCAAGTGCATTTTACCTGGACATGAACTGGATTTGCCAAAGTATTTATTGTTTGTGATGACTCAAATGCTTTGCTTAGTGTTTAAAACAGTATGAAAGAGTGAAAAGGGGAAAGTAAGTTTACATTCTTTGCATAGTCTTGAATGAAGTAGCAAAAGACTTTCAATAATAAATTTAAAACATAATCATAACAAGCAGAGAGTAGCAAGTTAAAGTTAGAATTTGGATTGTCTCCGTCAGGAGATAACGTTTAGTTTGGTTTTATTTTGTTTAACGTCATTAACGTCATATTAACAGCAGAGGTCATTTAATGACGTATCAACCCATAAGCTTCGCCGACTGGCGGAAGTTATAAGAAAACTGCGAAAAGCGAGGCATTGCCAAGTTAATCACAATGTGTCAATGCTGTGGAAATATTACTTCAATGACAAATATCATGAGTCACTAATGTTCATGCTAGAGAAGGATCTCAGCAATGTCTCTTTGATCCGTCTGAACTAACATGGTGCAAAGGTAAAATGCGAACATTTCATTAACAGATTTAATTTCAACTACTTTGCATCTGTCCCGCATAACGCTTGCCGTTATGTAAAGATGACGGGTGTTTCCTTTTGCATGTTTTACGGCATAGAGATCGGGATTAAACTACTTCTATTACACGATAATGCAGTGGAAACGATTCTTACAAAAGGGATATATTTTTAAAGACAACTATCAAATGTCATCGAATATTACATCTTTTACATAATAATGACAAATTTGTTTCATCATGCAAATTATTGTTTTGAAGAAAATATTTCTAAATATAATCACAAATTTAACATATCAAATTGACCATATCAGTTTTGGATGAAAGATAAGATGGTCTTATTAATCGACCCTGTCAAATTGAAATGGGTTTAGCGTAATTCTATATTTTATCGACGTCGTTTGTCTGATGTGTTGTTCATATAATGCAATGGAGTGAATAATATGCTAGCTGCCTGATGCAAAAGTATTTCAGTTCAGGTAGCACTCGATATCGCCTAGAGACAAATTCGCATTAATACCGAATCTGGCACCAATGCAGGCAAACTTTACTTAACGCACACGGAGGAATGTTTTTTAAAAGGCTATGGCTGTTCATAATTAGGACGTCAAACCGTATACTACCAAACCAAAATCGAACAAAGTGACAGTTCGAATTGTTGTGTTCTTTCTACGATGTTGATTGTCTCTTCAATTTTTGGCTGAAAGCTGTTGGTCTTTTTAATCAAATTTGAGTCATCACTTTCAATATTCAAATTGACGTTTGTCCTTTAACCTTAAAGTTCGGTTGATGTTGGTCTTTTTTGCATTGGGTTTTTTTCCGACCATTTGTTGGCCCTAATTACCTTTGCTGTGCTGAGAGGCCGTTAAGTATTAAATAATAATAATATTATTGACTAAGTTTAGGTTTAGTATTGTTTAACGTCCTCTCAACAGCTATGGTCATGTAAGGACGGCATCCCCGGTGTGCAAGATACATGCGTGTAGTGTATGCGTGTGTTTTGGGTGGATGCGATGGGTTCGTGTTTGTCTCCTTGTGATAACGCGGAACTGACGCCGACTTTATAGTGCTATCTCATTTAAACGTACTGCCGAAGACACCCCAGCAGGACACCCTACGGGTCAAATTATACTGACAACGCGCGGACCTGTCGTCCCACTCACTCCTAAATTGTTGAGCGTTAAGTAAGAGTAGAAACTTAACATTTTTACAGATTCTGGTATGTCTCGGCCAGGGGATAGAAACCAAAGCCTTCCTCACAGGGTCGAACGCTCAACTAAAGGCCAAAAGTGAGCATTGTCGAGGGGAAAAATAAGAAGAAGAAAGTTGTTTAGAAAGAAGAGAAAAGATAAGATCCCAAACTTAGTCGCTTCTTACAATGGCAGTAGAGGCAGCAGTTACAATTCTTGCACTCTACCTGCAGGGACTTGATATTGAATAAATCATTTTATCCCCGGCTTTTCGATGAAACGAGGCATATTAATTTAGGCCCGTCCGCCTGTCACGTTTTAGGTTTTATGCAATAACCGACATTAAAGATTTTAACGATATGTTGTACGCATATACATTTAACTATGTTCAAAGATGTCAGAGGTAGACTTTCAATGTTGTCCGTAAAAATTTACGTTACTAAATGAGGTCACAGACTTGTGATTTGCTTATTGGTTTCCGTTCAGTAACTGCCCTAATAAGAGATCGATGTCAACGGAATTCAGTATGCACATATATATAAGGCTGTTTTCGATCGTGGATGCTACATGTGCATAGCTTCGCTTGCTTAACGAAATAATGATATTGTGATTGTCCAATTGGTTTCCTTGCATGACCAGCCCGAATTCAACTTCAACTAAATTCGTTATGCATATAAATGTTGGCATGTCGCGGCCTAGGGTCAATCGTGAATGTAATCAATGCATATTTACTCACAATTAAGGACGGTAAAGTACACTTTACTACACCTAATACATAGCCAGAAAGCAGAGAATACAAATTCCAACAATTCGCCTGTTATAGCAAAACAAGATTTAAGGTGTTATTTCACGTAACTGATTGGGTTTCTACACTTTAGACCACTGTTAACAACTTTTGACCATTTTTATTCATACATGTGGTATTGATACTCGAAACCGCTATACCTAATTAGTTTTCGTCAAACATGTCACTGTAATACTTATCAACAATCAAATATCCTCTGGAATATCTAGTTCGTTATCTGAATGTCTCTTGTGGGATTCATAATGCCCCGAGTTTGACAAGGTTCCTATCCATTTATACCCCTAGGGACAATTGGTAGTAATAACGCGCGGAAACATATCCCGGGAAGCAAGTAATATGACAGGGACATCGACCTACCATGTTGTGTGTACAATGTTAGCTAAACTAACTACGACATGGTACCGCGTCCATATTGTCTTGTTGTCTTTTTTTCTTCAAAAACGTCCTGCAGTTCAGGTAAAGAATATACCTGCTGTATATTGTATCCCGCTACATGTCGTAAAAGGCGACTGTAGTGGATATATGTAGCATCAAGAATTTTATTTTATTTTCTCCTAAAGAGACACGGAAGAAACAAAATTTTCATGTTGCTCAAAATACAACATTTTGGATCTCTATTTTTTTCTCTCTGCTTCAAAAGATATGTTTTTGTACTTGTGCCTTGCTTGGCAATCCCTCATTTTGGAATGTTCTCCGCAATGGGGCTTTATCAACGTCATACATATCATTAACGATTCTTGATTGGTTTGGTTTGGTTTAGCATTGCTTAACGTCCTATCAACAGCTATGGTCATTTACGGACTCCCCTGTGTGCATGCGAGTAGTGTATGCGTGTGTGTTATGGGAAGCTGTTCATGTTTGTCTCCTTGTGATAGCTTTGTTTGTTTGTTTGTTTGATTTTGTTTAACGTCCTATTAACAGCTAAGGTCATTTAAGGACGGCCTCCCCTGTGTGCAAGATGCATGCGTGTAGTGTATGTGTGTGTATTTTGGGAGGCTGCGATATGTTCGTGTTTGTCTTCTTGTAATAGCGCGGAACTGATGCCGACTTTATAGTGCTACCTCACTGAAACATACTGCCGAAGACACCCAGCAGGACGCCCCACCCGGTCACATTATACTGACAACGGGCGAACCAGTCGTCCCACTCCTAATTTGCTGAGCGTTAAGCAGGAGTAGAAACTGCCATTTTTAAAGACTTTGGTATGTCTCGGCCAGGGGACAGAACCCAAAGCCTTCCTCACAGGGGCGAACGCTCAACAAATGGCCAAAAGTGAGGCATTGTCAAGGGAGACATTAGGAAAAAGAAAGTTATTTAGAAAGGAGAGAAGAGATAAGGTCCCAAATTTAGTCGCCTCTTACGATCATGCAATTGGGGGCAGCAGGTACAATTCTTACGCCCTACCTGCAGGGCAGCCTTGTGATAGCACGGAACTGATGCCGACTTTATAGTGCTACCTCACTGAAACATACTGCCGAAGACACCCCACCCGATCACATTATACTGACAACCGGCGAACCTGCCGTTCTCCTCCTAAATTGCGTTAAGCAGGATAACGATTATTGAAACAGCTAGACTGCCCGTTATCATGTAGCGGAGACCGGTCGGAATATTTTATAGGGTGCTTTCGGCATGATATTTACGTGAGATACCCTCTTATGTCGACATCAGATCAGCGCTATTGTATGAAGACACGCACACAGGTTGTATGTCCCGACCAGGAAACAGAACCCTACGGGGGTGTTCGTTTAGAACCCGAGTTACAACTCGACAACCGTGTTTCATTCAAGAACGACGGGAGTATAACACGCGAGTTCCGAAACTGGGTCAGGAGTATACTCCCCTATTTTCCATGGTCGACGAGAGTTATGACGTCACAAACATGGCGGACGAAAGCAGGGGAGGTTAATGTGTTTTATTTAATCTCGAATATCGTCTTAAAAAATAAGTCAACATCAAATACTTTTATAAAATATAACTTTAAATGATACAGAACGTATTATCTGATGATAACTTGGCAGTGTTGATGCATGTGGTGCTCAGAGACTGGTTCTGATGAAGTATGCTACTTTGATGATCTTGTACTAAGGTAATGCCATAAAGATGATGTACATACATACGTGTATCATTGTAAATGTGAATAATATCGCAACTAGAAAATTATTCAATCGAGGTTGATGTTTTCCAGTTCAAGTCCAGGATATTGGCAACAAACTCGTCTAACATATAGTGATGGGACCACCTACCTAGTCAAACTGGACATGCCAACGATTCAACGTTTAGAGAATGGAGGTATGAAGTCCAAAATAACTTTAATTAAAAAATATTGGCCCCCATCAATATTTAAAGCAGTCCATTTGGTATCATTTCTAGTATTAAACCATGTCGAGATTAATTTTTAAGGAGAAAGTACATGAATAAAAATGCATCAAGAATTACATAAGTTTAATCTAAACATCCTCATTGACATCCAAGACGAAAGACCGAGATGATGAATATATTAAGTACGTTTTTTTGTGCATTAATTTAGATTATACACATATCTGTAACAATTTACATGCACTAAATGTAGTTACAAAATGTGCTAAATATAAATATATAAAGCAGATCAGATCAATTTAGAAATCTGAATCTTGGAAATTATTTAACTATGGGTTTTGGAAGTTGTCTATTCTATACTTTTCCCTTTCTATACTTTTCCCTTTTAAAACATGAGTGAAATATGTCATTTTCTCTTTTGCTTATTTTGTAGATACTCAACTTCTTGAAACAATCAGGGCTAATATAGAATCATCAAAATTGGAAAAAAACCTCTTCAGCCACAGGTGGTGCATTGCCGTCATCCTCCAACAACGACTCTCTATCCGTCACAGGTGGTGCATTGGCGTCATCCTCCAAAAACGACCCTCCATCCGTCACAGGTGGTGCATTGGCGTCATCCTCTAACAGCGACCCTCCATCCGGCACAGGTGGTGCATTGGCGTCATCCTCCACTGAGGAAAATCTTCCAAAATTTTGGGGAAGACGAGAAACAGCTCTACTGTTTGACTTGCAATCAACTATCGAATCCGACTTTCATTCCATGAGAACACACAAAGTACTTTGGAAAAAAATAGGTGAAAGCATGAATAAGAAGGCGTACAAATCTACGCCTACACAATGTGAATACAAGTTTAAGAGTTTGAAACGAGAATACAGGAACACTGTGGATCACAATTCAAAATCCGGAAACGACAAAAAGTCGTGTCCTTCTTTTTCCGAGTTTCGGGAGTTGTATGGCATGAACGCCTCCACAAGACCATCAGTGGCGATTAGCTCCAGCAGGGGCATGACTATGGAGGGCAATAGTACCGAGATTAACCAGACTAGTCAGACTCCAAGCAAGACGAGACGAGACAGGAAAAGGAAAGAGAGACCTGAATGGCTGGAGAATTTAGACACCAGGCAAGTAGAAAGACACAAAGACAAGATGGCAGCTATGGACAGGCTGATATCAGTTCTTGAAAAAGGGTTTTCCAAGGTGGGGATTTTTTTGGGTCTCATTAGATGTATAGAGTAGTACTAGTGAATGAAGTGTATTATATAGTGGTGTTCGTCTTTAACTCCCTCCTCCAAGAAAAAACATCAAATGTTGCTATAATATGATATAAGCTTATGGTGTACCATGGCGTCTGTCTGTCAAAAACATTAAATGTTGCTATAATATGATATAAGCTTATGGTGTACCATGGCGTCTGTCTGTCGTCCGTCAAATAAAAGAACTAATAGGCCGGAATGGCGCAGTAGATTTTGACTACTTGGCCTTTTGTTTTTGCAATGCTGTTTGTCTTTAAATGGTGACGGTTGTACAAAGTTCAGTAACATAACTTCTGTTTAAACATAGGTTTTGTTGTCACGGTTTGTGTCCACAGGGAGATACCAACAATAATTTAAAGTTGCTCAAGATGCATTCAAATAGATTTCTTAGAATGCATTTTACTTTTGCCAAATTTTATTATAAACATGTTTTCATTTTTTAGACATTTAAACATGAATGTTTAATGATTTTTTTTTCAGAATCATCAGCCTGCCATAGACAATCCTCATGGAAGTTCTTAGACATCTTAACATTACTGATCAGCTGTGTTTAGATTCAACAAGTAGAGGAATGAGAAGAAATATCCTGGGAACCTTCACCAATATAAATGTGTCTTGTAAACAGACACCTAGAAGTGTTCCAGACTCCCACTTCCTGAACATTATGTGTTCATTGACAAAACTTGTGATCAGAGCTAAAACTAATACAACCATGCTCAGTCTGCTTTCTGCTCTGTACTCAGGGGCTCTATTTCAGTTAAAAATTTTGGAACTGATAGATGTAGGGTATTCTTTGCAGTCTCTCTACAATGTCATCATTGCTTTGCCAAATTTGCATTCCTTAGTTACACGTGAAAGTAGGTCAGAACTCTCTGTGGAGTTTTTGGTAGAGTTGATGCAGAGGAAGAAAGGGCTACGGTATATTAGTGGAAAAGTATCTACAACGTGTCAAAGGGACGTTGGAAATTTTGCACAACTGTTAAACAGTAATGTGGGAAGGGTGACATTTGGTCACAGTATTATAGACAAAGTGCCACTTCAAATGTTGAAATGTGTCCCAAATCCAAGTGGTCGTTATTGAAAGGAACACAATCAGTTTCAACTTCTCAAAAACTACATTGAAGAAATGTAATTGTTCAGTTTTCTTAATCATGAAAGAATTCGTGTACATGCTGTCATTTTGTTTTCCATATGTCCATAATATGTTGTAATAGGTTTACACTAGCAGTCAGGTCAGTTGGGGCACCGTTTTAGTATTTATTTACGAAATGTGACATCACTAATTCAAATTAATGATATCAATGTATATTTAGTGATATCATTAAATAATTATATCACTAATTCAAATTGGTGATTTTACTTAATAGAATTAGTGATCACTAATTCATTTAATAATATCACATATCATATTATTGATATCACTAAATGCCCTGAATTATTGCTATCACTAGTTTGACTAAGTGTTATCAATAATTTCAATTAATAATATCTCAATAATTCTGGGCATTTAGTGATATCATAAATCTATAGTAATGATATCAATAATGGAATCACACTTTGTAGACAAATACGAAAACAGTGCCCCATAATTATTTGTTCACCCATTTTCTAAATATTATTGTTTGTATTATCATGTTTAATAGGTTTAATTCCATCATCAGTTGGTGAGTTTTATTTTATATGTAATTGAAAAGTAATTTAAATCTGTGTTACCTGAGAGATACTCAAACGTTTTTATTTTGTTTTCCATTTAATAAAACAAGTTTGATTCATTTTACACTTTATCACATTGTCTTGTTTTCAAAAGCAGTGGCTAGTCTATGCAACCATGGCATGGTTTTCGAACACAGTTATCTGTTGGCATTGAGAAGCTGTACAATCTCATTTCTTTTCCGCACACCACGAGCATTATCCAAATACACAGAAGGATGGTTATTGACTACTTGATTTCCGTCATAATTGTCCAAGTTCTCGGACAGATCATCTTCATGTAATATACACATATTATGCAGGATACAACCGGACATAATGATTTCACAGGCACTTTTCATGTCACGGCAGCTAAGATCTCTTAGGCGTCTGAATCGTTGTTTCATATGTCCTATTGTACGTTCTACTGTTTGGCGTTCTGATGACACCTTCTTGTTGAAATAAATGCTTCTGTTGTGCACTCCGATTTCCAGTCTGTCTAAATTGCGTTATCATGACTTCTGATAAGGGATATGCACCATCTCCTGAAAGGCAAGGAAAAGGAAATTACTTATACTTCAAACATTGTCATATCGATTTTTTCTCAGAAATATGTGTAAATACATTTCAGTACCTATTAAAAAATGTCCAGGGGCTATCTTTCTTATTTGGAGACCATCAAACAGAGGACTGTTCTTTTAAACTCTGGCATCGTGGACACTACCAGGCCATCCTACGTATGCATCAATGATCAGCATACTATGTGACACAACAATCTGTAGCTGGAGAGAAGGAAACCCTTTCCTGTTTATATAACCAGAGTCTCCATTGGGAACACTTGACAGTCGGATGTGGGTCCCATCAATAAAACCAACGACTGCTGGTATTCCTGTACTGTTTTTTAATTTCTTCTGCTGCTTCATCCTGTTCAGTCTGATCAGGCCAATGAATGTATTTCTGCATTTCGTTACATAACGCGAATGAAACTTCTCTCACACAACTAAAAACAGATGATTTTGATACATTAAATAGGCGTGATATTTCCCTCATACAATCTTGGTTTGCCATGTACCACAAAAATATCAGCAATTTGTGGTTAGGTTTCAAGGGATCCCTTCCACAAGGGCGGTCAGGGCTCTCAATGTGAGGAACAACTTCGTTTAGAAGAATGTCAAACGTATTACGAGTTATCCTGAAATCTCTTTTGAACTCTCTGTCATCAAATCTGGCCATCATCACGAGTTCAACGAACCCAGTTACCTTCGGAACAGCATTTGAGAATTTATGGTACGCTAAACAGTGTGTAAGATATTCCTCCTCGTCGTGGGAATCGTTAATAATTAGTTGACAACACACTATTGCTTTACCTCCATGTTGAGAACTCGAGTGTTGTGATCTCTGCGTTTTTGACACGCTTGACGTTTATTATATTTGAGCATGTCTGGATTCGACCCTCGAGTTTCCGTCACGAACACCCCCATTGCCTTTCCTCACCCTTGCCATTCCCCGAGAAAAGAATACCGCAGATGATAGCCACCGCAAGTTTCGTATGAGGTGACTAATGAGGGAACCCCTATAGAATGTGTGGTTTTGGTTTGGTTTTATTTTGTTTCACGTCCTTTTTACATATATTGGTTTGGTTGGATTTAATTTTGTTTGACGTGCCTTCATGTGTGTATGCAGGACGCAGGGTATGTTGGTGTGCTTGCCTTCTTGTGATCTGATGCCGACTTTATAGTGCTATTTCATTTCACTGAAATACTATGCTAAAGGCACCCACTGGCCAGCACAGCATTCCGCCCGGTTACATTAAAATCGCCACGAGTGAACCAGTTGTTGCCATTCCCCTATAAATACTGAACGTTAAGCAGGGAATAGCAACTACCATTTTTAAGGACTTTGGAATGTCCTGACCTGGGGAAAGAACCCATGGTCTTCCTCACCAGGGCGAACGCTCAACATTCAAGCCAAACGTGAGGTGTTGCCAAGCCAAGTCGCCTGGAAATAAACGATCGTTATAAGTATAAAGCAAGATAAAGATCCCATATATTGCAATGGGTGCAGCTGGCTTATTTTGGTCGCTTTTGTGTCCCCCCCCCCCCCCCAAAAAAAAAGACATCAAAGCATAACTCAATTATGCAGGGGTTCCGACATTAGTCGACTCCTACATTGCATGCAGTGGGTAAGGTCATTGTTAATGCATACATGTATGTGTGTATATTTACATTTGGTGTAAATCCCTTCTGTATTACTACTAAAGTACTGCCAATAGCAGCTTCATCTTATGAGACTATAACTGAAGTTGGTCTTTGCACCTCCGAGCGACATAACAGTGTCACTACCGAACTTATCGGTATCTTCTGCTTTGATCCCGAACACCAGCTGCCTGTCTCAAGTGTCTGTGAGATCAACAAACAAATTTACGCCTTGATTGTTAACCAATTCAACCTTCTCCGGTTGCAAGATCAACATGCCGGACTGCAAATATAACTGACCTGATTACTGCGGGCTTCCGTTGAGTGCGTGCGCCGGATATAGGTCGCAATAAAATCGGAAAATGTTTTACGACACTTCATTAGTTACTTACAAAATGTTATTTGTTACTATTTTATGAATTGAGAATATGATATGTATATAAATTAAAAATAAATGAATTATTAACGAAAGTTGCGAAGTCTTTTCAATTTTGTATGGTAAATAGCGCGTGACTCCAGCTGTAATCTTTGTGCCGTTCTAGATATTGACCTGACCTAACGGTAATAAGCGGGAAATTTGAAAGTTGGAAAAGACAAATAGTTTTTTGCTAATTCTCATTCCGGAAATATATATACAAGCAATAAACTGCATAGATGTGGCAGACCAACTTGTACAACTGCCACATGTGCTGAAATATGTACCGGGGACAGGGTAGGTTGATGTGTTGGCTATCTCACTGAAACACCATGCAGAAGGCAACGATCACAGCATTCCGCCCAGTCACATTATACTTGCAATGGATAAACCAGTTGTTGCCATTCTCCTGATTGCTGAACATTAAGCAGGGAATAACAACTACCATTTTGATAGCGATGCTCAAGCAAAAGGCAGGTAACTCGTCTCGGTATCTCAAAAACGCTTGAAAACACGAACCTAAAATATAAGGTTTACTATCAGGAGGTTTTAGGTGTTTTAACTATTCTTTACAAACGTAGAAGTGATCTCATTTTTTTCCCACTCGTAATCATCGTCGTTTAACTATGATTTATATCCTAAAAATGGCAGAAGATTAAGAAATGGTGAATTTTCGAAAAATTGAAACACGATTATTTACTTTATTTCAGCCTAGTCAATTGTGGTCTCACTATACTATCTGCAATATTTAGTCATTTATAATTTTTTGGTATATAAAATCACACTTGACAATCCAGGGAAACATAAGAAAATGTAATTTTTCGAGCCTTGTGTAAATGACAGCAGCCGCGCTTCAGTCCAAGATGGCGGACGTTCGTAGTGTCAATAGCTGTGTGAAAACCAACGCACATAAACATTTCTCACTGCTTTTGTATGGAAACCCCTCGTTTAAATTAACACATAAATTTAAGATATTAAAACCCAAATTTAAACAAATAAAATATTTGAAGCGATATTTTTAGTCACCCCAGTGGGGACTATTAATTCGGTTTCAGTTCCGGATTTTGACCTCTGATGTCTTTGGCTGTTAAGTGTGTGCTTCTGTCGGAATATACCAGGCGCTTATTACAAGCTCTTGGATAACTCGGATATCGATTTTCTTTTTTAAACAGGAATTGCATAAAACCTAAAGGTGTTCCAAATTACACACGGGAATTACATAA